TCTGACGTGCACTATCCTCTTTGAAATCACGTACATAACTGTATTTAGACACATCTACTGAATCACCAAAGGGTAACATTGGAAAAGTGAGAAACCAGTCAAAAGATTTATTTTTTTGCCTAACAGCCTTCCAGACTTTGACCCAGAGCCAAACTTTCATGCTCCAGTTTTCCATAATGCATTTCACATAAAGACATGCAGCGACAGCCCATTGCCATTTAATACCACTGTTTTCAGATTATTCTCCTCTAATGCTGCTTTTCTTTCTGAAAGATTGTGTATTGTTCCGTTTTTGGGGGTTTTGGGGTTTTGGTTTTTTTTTTGCCATTTGCAATAGTTTTCTTTTGCCAAGCCAGAACAGACTGGGTGACTCGTTAGGTCATTTTGTGGGTGTTTGTTCTGGGGGACACTAAGTAATTGTTAATGCAAACAGCACTGAATAAACAAACAAGATGCATTCACTCAGTTAATACTGCCTTCTGGATCACTGAATATGGAAAAATTGTTGTTTATAGAGTGAATCATTAATTTGGCTTGTGTATTAAATAGGCTTGCCACTAAAATAATAAATTATGACTGGCAGATAAATACCATACTGGTTTTAACCAACCTAAAATGAATGAAACATTAAAAAACATGTTAGCTACTAATTGCCAACTTCAATTCTTTTGAAGCATGAGCTTTGCTAAGAGCTGGACATTTTGTTAAAAAGCTTTGTCAGGTAATTATTTTCCTCCCTGCCATAGAACTGCACAGGTTTGCTGATTCCAAAGTTCATCTCAGTCCTTGTACTTTTTGGGTAGATTGAGGTACATAGAGCTTAGGGTCCTCCAGCTTTGTGAGCATCCTTCTTCTTACACTGATTACTAAAACTGTAATTCTGTGCAATGGATATACAGATCCCCCTTCCTGTATTGAACTTTGTGAGGAGGTATGAGGCTTGAATCTAAAGACTGATGCCAACTTGCTGAGAAATTTTTCAGCAAATGAATCCAATATGTAAATTACTAAAAATCATTATGTTAACTGAACATAAGTAACTCAGTGGTCAAACAAAATATAATTCAAATGTGCTGGAAAGCAATAACTGAATGAGGGTTTATTAATCTGCAGTTACTCAACTGCTCCTTTGATTTACTGTGGTGTCTGCATGCCTCTGACCATTCTTCCAGTACCAAACACCTTGTGGCAAGCTAGATGGAATGAATATGCATTCATGGAATTTGGTTTTGAAGTAACATTTCTCTTTTTCCAGAAATATTTTTATATCCTGTAGAGCACAAAGTACTAGCTATGCTACATGTAAGAATAATTTCTAAATCTACTTTCCTATTTATAATAGAGAATGTTTGGGGTTTAGTTTTAATTATTGCCTAAAAAAAAAAGGGCTTTGCAGAGTTACAAATGTATGTATGTTTAATTTCCTAACACACAATAAATGACAGGTATGATTTTTTTCAGGCATTTTTGCAATGTAGAGCCCAAAATATTTTGGCAAGAATGGAGGCAGAAGGATTTCAAGAGGCAAGCATTAGTAGTAAACTATTATCATAAGTAGTTGCTGATCAGTGATTTGCGCCTTTGAAATATGGTTGTAGTCTCTTTCCCCATTAGCAGTTCAGACATTTCTCAGAAAGTAAGAATTTCTTGTGATTTTTCTCCATCAAGTAAGACATATACAAGATGTATGCAATGATATCATATGCTAAATAAAACTGCACTTGATAATGCAATATTTTTCCATACACTTGTTTGTGCATACAGTATTGTATTCTTACTTTGCACCAGTAATGCTGAGAATTAAGTGTTTCCTACTATCAGTACTATTTCATTTGGCTTGTGGTATTTCCTACACTTCACAAAGTGTGTCTTCTTGATTTGTGCACACAAGAAATTTTCTTTTTGTTTGGTATCTTATTTCATTCTTGTATCCTGGAGTATTCAGTCATGGAATTACTTTGTGAAATTACATCTATTATACCACTGGAATATGACTTGATTTATTGTAAGAAGATCAGAGCATAGCTCAAGTGCTCAGTGCATTATCCTAAATGAAGCTTTGTCTCTGAGGGCTGCCATAGCCTTCATCTTTGCCATTATGCTTTAGCCATTGATTTCCCTTTAGAACACAAACGCCATAAAAATACTGCTTGGTAAATGTTTCTTCAGTATTGAATAACTGCTTTTTCTGCCAAGGGGGTGTCAAAGTCTCTTCTCAACCTGTCTGTCACACACTGTTCCTTTTACATGCATCAGCAGGGGTGAACTAAATAGGTCTGATAACTCATTTTTGGAGGAGATGCAGATTGCAAGTCAAGTTGAAAGGACAGCAAGTAACTTTTCAAAGCTTGCTTGTTTACGTATCTCTGATTGCAGTGGTACCCAGCCCCTTTAGAGAAAGGCACACTGCTTTCTGCAAACCAGGCTCTGTCCTGGAGCTGTTTCCTCTGCACCTCCTGAATTCAAAGCCACAGGCAGCTCCTTTCTCACATTCTGAAGCACAGTTTGTCCCAGAGCAGCCTAATGGTGGGGAGGGGCAAAAAAAAAAAAAAAATAGGCTGAAGGAAGCTCCTATGAGAGCTGGAAAGTTGCTCAGGTGAAAGTGGCTGTGATTTGGAGATGGGGTTGCAGAGATTAGCAAGAAGCTTATCACGGATATCTGTAAGCAGTGGGTTTCACAATTTATCATTTTGCAAATGTTTTATTTTTGCAATTACTTAGGTTTATATTTTCTTCCTTTTTTCATGTATTACAGGAGGATACAATTAGCAATCATTGGGGCTTTTACCACCATAAAATATAACATTTCTGTATGATGCATGATATGTATTCCTGTAATTTAATTATCTAGAGTGTTTATTTGGGGTATAAATGCTGGAAACAATGACATTTCTGAGATGATTTATGGGGTACTGCACTTTGTAATCAAACCTTCTGTGTGCTGTTTGTAAAATATCAAGTGTTATAAAATTGCTGATAGTCAGAAAAAGAACATTGATAATGGGCTTACATTCTCTGTGCAGCTGCAGATGAAAATCTGTAGGAAATAGAGGGGAGCAGAAGCAGTGGCAGCTGTATTGCAAAGATTAGTAACTGAGATGTTGCCTGCCTGAGAAACACATAAACTCTCTGCAAGGAGTTTTATTTTGTGTTGAGAATTATGTAGTTTCAGCTTTACATTTTAGACAATATTTTATTAATAACAATTCTTTTTTTCCCTGTGATAATACAAGTATTTCTGAAGTAAGTAAATAAATGTATTGTATCTAAAAACAAAGAATAAAAACGGAGTCATACTGAGTTGTAGAAATGAACAGGTTTAGATAAGGTTTAGATCAAAGAAGTGCTAAAACAGAAAGAAAGTGGAACTGTCATTGACTGTGGAACCAAAGTTACCCAAACCCAAACTTTGCAGAGCTTTTATTAAGGCAGAACATAACACAAAAGAATAAACTTTGACTGCAGTAGGAATTAGTGACCTGCCGTAACCAGGGCCCAAGAAGGGAGAGCACTGTTCATTACTACAGTTTATTTTTCAAAGATGCAGGCTCTTATAGTTCCAGGAGGCTAAGAAGTCCTCAGAATATTTGGCCAAGGTGAGTAAAGTCTCCTTTCGACTTCAGTTTACTCAGCTGATAAAAGAGTTCATAAAGATTACAAGGAAACATACTTTGCAACACAATGACTGACCCACCAGAGAGAAAAGCTTTGAAACAGTAATAGTGACCTTGATTTTATGAGCATTTTTGATAGCAGAATTACAGATCAAGTTCACTGTTGGATCTTGGTGCTCATGTAAAGCTGATAAGGAAGGAATGTTGATGGGTCCTTTTTAAAATTTCTGAATTGTAACCTAGCCAACCTAGGCTATCTATGCTAGAAGTTAGTCTAGAGCACAGGCTGTGAACCAGGCAGAGCTCAATTAATAGAGAACATTAACCTTTTATCTGTGCTGTTCAATAAAACTGCATTCAGGGCAGCAAAATAAATCAAGACACTTAATGAAAGTATTTTATTATTATTAAGTTTAATTGTAAGTATTATGACTTAAATTTTTGTACTATGTGAGGAATTTTAAATTTTATTTTAAACTTAAGCTAGTGATGTAAATTTTGTGTTGATCAAGTACTATACCTATACAAATAAAGGCAAAGACATAATTAATGCAAAATAACAATGAATGAAACTTTTGTTTTGCCCAGGACTGTTTTGTGTTTCCTGAAAATGTTACTGACTGGTGCATGAGTGGTTCTATTGCAGACCCAGCAGCAGGACACTTAGCAGCCTCTGCTAACATCCTGTCCCAGTGGCTTTACCACATAAATAAATGAATGCATAAGTGTCCACAGCAATGAACACACTTTAAGTAAAGGCCAGGCAAAGTAATAATCACAGGATTTAGTGTGACATTTTGCCAGCACTCACTCGTACTCCTGACTTTTCTAACATTTGTTTTTCAACTCATAAATATTTCTGCAAAGTAGGCACACTGTTAAATGACAGCAGCTTCTGTGGAGAGATTAGGTACATTAATAAAATGTGAGACAAAAGATACTGGTGAGTGATGGATTTTAATTTGGGAAGAAAAGAAAAAAAGGTTTTTTTAAAAGAGAGGAGTATGTTCTGGAGAGCAACACTTAATTGTCTCTGGTTTTGTTACTTTTGAGTATACTCTTACATATGAAACAAAAATTGGAAAACACAAAAAAGAAATTTACACTTACAATAAGAAAAATATGTTTGAATGTCCTGTGAAAGGGAGGAAGTGGTGGAACACAAGCTTCCTTTGATTATATTCAATGAAACCAGGTTGTGTACTTTATAAGAACAGGAGCAACTTCTAACATCTTTCTAATCCTATTGCAACTTTGATCATTTTTCCTTTTAACCAATGGCTATAACTGGACCTAGCAAAGAGAGGAGCAGTTGCTTCTCTCAGACAGGTAACTTTTATGTTTTGCTATATCTTTTTCATTCTAATGAAATCTTTCTCTCCATTTTAGACAAATATCACTTGCTGTGTCATAGCACATGGATTTCAGGACCGCCTGTGAAGAGGTAGGATCAGATTTTTTTTTTCAAACAGTAGTAGAATGAAAATCACTGAATTCTTAATCTTTTTTATATGCAAGGTACCTTTTTTCTCCCTTTTTTATTTCCCCCTGAAGTTTTAGGAATTATATAGTTGATGTCATTCAGCTGATCAGTTCATGGTGGCAGATGGACTTTGTAGTAAAAGATGAAAGAATTTGCTCAAGTGTATTTATCACTAGATCTCACCTCTGTTCCCATTTACCTCTTTAGGCACAATGTAGGTGCAGGCAGATACATTTTGTGTGAGCTTTGCTCTTCTTGAATTGTTTATATCTGAAAGCCTGTGCATGGAGAAAAACAGTGGAGTCAGGAATCTGGTGCTGCTCAGCAGAATCAAGGGGGAAATGTAGAAGTATGGGAGGGAGGTGGGCGGGGAGAAGGGAAGCTGTGAAGATGACCGAAATGAAAAGCAATTCCATTCAGATTTAGTGAGGTAAGAGAGTAATTTTTGCCTAGAATTAGTTTCATAATGTCAATGCAAAGTACTTCAGTCTCCCTCCACTAGAGATGAGGGAAGTGCTTTCTGTGTTTATACTAATTTGCCTTAAAGAAAGCAAATAAAATGTATTTGTAGACATTAGCAAGGGCATCTTATTTACTCAGTGATTGTCTATGAACAATTGTTTTAATGTGATTTTAACAACTTCAGCAATTGAGACACAGTGAGAACAATTTACAGCAAATTATGTAATGATTTTAAAGCCTTATTATAATTAAAAAATAATGACAATTACCTGTAAACTGAAAACCACAAACAGCATTTAGGAAGGTAGGACTGGAAACAAGAAAACTGGCTACATCTTTAGGACCATGATCCCTTGAAAAAATACAAATGAAGGGATTGGAACAGCACTAAAATCAAGAACTAACTGCAGCTAAAACCAATTGTGACTTGAGAATTAGTTGGAATAAATTAGGGGAGAAGAGAAAATAAGCAGAATAAACACTTAATCATGACAGCATCTGAAAGGAGTAGTAGGGTCAGAAAGTAATATTAAAATGAACCTTGCCTTTGGGAAAGAATACTGTGATGTTTTTCCAGGATGGTATATATCAAGCTTTAATACCTCAGAAGATGCATGGTGTAAATTCTATAGCAGTATATCCCAGATTATTGGCATGGAAGAAAGCATTCTTATTAATCTTGAGGTTTAGCTTTTCAGATAGAATATTTTCAGTTGGAAGGAGCTTGCAATGATCATGTAGTCCCACCTCCTAACTGCTTCATGGCTGACCAAGAGTTAAAGCATGTTATTAGGGCATTTTGGTACTATTATTATTATTATTATTATTATTATTATCATTATCATTATCATTATCATTATCATCATTATCATCATTATTTATTTATTTATTTTTAATGCACTTATGCAGGTAAAGAGGAAGATAAGTATTATTTTCATAGTTTTTTATGTTATTCTTTAAACTCTGTAGACTCTTTAGGGGCAATTAACTTCACTCTGTGTCCAGCAGATATAATAACAAGAGCAGCCACAGAAAGATGACTTGGCATATGTGTCCTGTCTTAGCCTTTACAGCACAAGTACTGTACAGACAGATCTGTTTCATTCCATATCTAGTTTCTAATGGGGGCATTCATTTCAAATTTAGCTCTTTAAAAATCAGCTGATTTGTGGAGCTTCCATGGTAGACAAGGGAAGGAGAGGATGATTCAACCCATCCTAAAAAAACTCCACAATCTGGAAATGGCAAAGAAAATCCTTTAACTGGCATTTAAATAAAATTAAATGAGGTGGATTCAACCCCAGTTTGTATGTTTTATGTAAAATGGGGTTTGTACCACGGAATCAGTGGTGTCACTTCCAAGACTATGGTCCATCTCTTTCCTTCCAAAAAGAAGTTAATAAAATACAGATTTTCAACCTACTTTCATCAAATGCCTGTGTCTAAATAAATAATCATCAGCCTTATGCTTGCACATGGTGTCATTTTTAACTAAAACCTTAGCACTATGATTGTGATGCATCATCTGCTTTGATTTTTCTTTGAGGGAAAATACAATGAACTAGATCTGAAAGCCCAAGCGAGGGGAGGCTGCTGCAGCTCCATGTGCCCAGAAGAGTCATGAGGGTGAAGATGTATCCCCAGTAGGCATATGGAGGCAGAGCACACATACACATTGCATGTATCCATATATATTTTTATGTACATGATGGGCTACACAGATCCAATAGCAGCACACAGAGCACTCACAAACAGCACCAATGTCCTCATGCTATTCCCCTCTCTGGCTGAGCAGGATGGAGGTCCACTTATTAGCAGCAGTGGGGTTTAGACAGTTTGCCCAGTGTGCCCAGCACCTATCCCTGAATCCCAGTCTCCAGTCTCCCAGTCCGAGTTGGGCTCGGGTCATGGCCTGACAAACACACTGACTAGAAAACTGCATGTGACCAGTCACATTTTTTCCACCTTAAGTCTTTATTTTCAGGTACTCATTCCCTACCACAGAGCACTGAATCCCTTCCCCTGCCTTTGGTCCTCCCCTAAACATCCCATAATGGGTCCTGTGCAATCCAAAACTGCATTCCATTGTGTGCCCATGCTCCCAGGCACTGACCTCCACTTACTCCAAGAGGTGCTATGGCATTTTCTTACCATTATGGGTTTCACACAGACACTGGAGCTGAAGCTGTTCTAGGACAGCCCTGGCAGGGGACCCAGACTGGGTGTCCCTTTCTGAGTCCCTAATTTGGGTTCCCACCTGTTGTCGTGGTCCTGTAGTCCTTTGAGCTTTGGCTGATGGAACTGGACAGGGATGGACTTTAAATATCGTCCAAGTATTAATTAATTACTTAATAAAATATTTCACTTGAGGTCAATATAAGGTGTAATCAGGTCAGGTATTTCAAGACACAATATATATCTTTCACCTATTGCTTTTAATAAAATTTTCTTCATACCTTAAAGTTTGCCAGATTTGTCACCAAAATTTCATCTGTTACTTGAGCTTCTTATCCAAGTGGTGGTAGTGGCTTAAAAAATGACCATTGTGCCAGTACATCCTTAATTAGCTCGTGGTTCTATTCCATCTTATCACATCTTTGGCACTAGTTTAGTCACTTGAAGCCACAAACATTTTGCTGATGTCTTATTTATTTCAACTATTGATATGAAAGGTAAAGTAGCTGTAGACTTTGCACCAGGTATTTTTGTTTAATTGGTTCTCTAGTCAATGCATTTAAAACTTTCAGGCTTCATCCCTTATTGTATTAAATTCTCAGTCATGATACATATGTGGGAAAAATATCTCTATGCCAGAATAGTTGCTAAGAAGTTTTTAATAATGGCAATAACATCTTTTGTGAAGCATCTTGACTAATTGATCTTCTTCCTCCCCTTTTTGTTTCCTTTCACCTGCATATCCTGGTGCTGTAGCCACTACACTGCAGAAGAACTGAGCTTGCTCTCCTAAACTGGTGAATGCAGCTCAGATTCTTGTTGGTACTTCCATCCTTAGTAATGACAGTAAATGGTTTGAGCTGCGTTTCAATTAGCATAAAGCAAAAATTTTCCACATAGATGTACTGAGGCTAAAGCATGTTTTTCATGGTGTCTATGGCATACTAATTTTTTATTTTTCCTTAAATGACTTGTCATTCTAATTAGCTGCTGCTCTAGTGCACTGGAGGTCTCTGAGGGAACCTTAGTTCTTTCATAGTACTGGTGCTTTCATGCATCCCTAATTTCTTCTAGTGTCTACTAGTGAGATTTGGTTTGAGATTTGGGCACTGAAATGGTCTTGTCTCCTTACAGGTATCTGCATGTGCACTTTGTGCCTAAGTTCCTACAGCAGATCTGATTGGAGCAGTTAGGGTTATTATAATGTGAGATTAAACACAGATATGTAGACAGGTAGAGTTTGTTTTCAATCTCAAAATGACTTCTAGGATCTTAATGATTATTTTCTCCCCCAAGCACCTTATCTTCAAACTGTCTTGCCTTTCAAGGTACCTTAAAGTAGTTTTATTCTGCAAAAAATAACTTCCATGCTAGACAATGGAGACCTTACACACATACACGTATTTTTTTAAGGGAAACTATGTCTTATCTAAAGAGGTGACTTTTTAACTTTTTTTTGTCTGTGTGTGTGTTTGGCTTCTTTGTTTTCTGCTTGTGGGATTTTTTTTTCACTGTTTCATACTTTGTTATTCAGTATTCCATACTTTTTTTCCCTCAGTGATCAGCAAATATATCCATTTTGTCTGCTCTGCTATTTAACAATTTCTAAACCATAAGACTATCCTGCTCCTCTCTTACCCTTTATCCCGAGCTTTTTGAACTTTACAAGAGCATAAATCACAGAGTCACTGGGTTCTTAAAATGCTCTCCTGTACTCACTTGACCTTATTCTATATTCTGAAAACTATCTCTTGGAAGATAACCTCAGTCTCTGACATAATACTGTCCTCTGCAGTGAAAGTATCCTTCTGTTGAAGTTGAAGACTTGGGATGATTATAATGCATTAGAACATTTTCCCCTGTTATTTTTTTCTTTTTAAGTTAGTATTTTCCTTGTACTTTATGAACAAGCTGCATTAGTAGCTTTCTAACTTTTTGAAATCTCATTCTTTACTTCTAATAGCTTGGCTTTTCCCCCCCTCTAATATAACATCAGACTTATTCAAGTTAATAAATACTGCATTCATTTTCCTGCTAACACTATATTCTTTTTTTTTTCACAGTAGTGTCCATTTTTTCTTTGAAGGATTAATTTGAATTGGTAAACTGTTTGTCCTCTGCTTTATGAATTCTATAAATATTCTTGTAGACTTCACAAGCTTTATAATTTGATGTGTTCTGTTATTCAAAGGTGTAGTGACCTCTATTTCAACATCTAGCTGGGGGGGGAGTGGGGGGGAACAAACTTTCCTGCAACAAAACGTTTTAAATTTTAAGCCATATTTAACTTTCTTGTGAATTTATTCCCTAAATATTGTTATATA